TGGTATGGTTTTTCACGCACACCTAGCCACTCACAGACACATTCTCTCCGTCCCCTGCCCATTCTCCGTCCCCCCACTCCCCCACTCCCCCACTCCCCCTCCCCCCACCCAACCCACCCACCCACTCTCCACTCACTCACTCACTCTCCACTCATCACTCACTCTTCCCACTTCACTCTCCCACTCACTTCTCCCACTTTCACTCTCCCACTCACTCTCCCACATGCACTCTCCCACGTCACTCTCCCACTCACTCTTCCCACTCACTCTCCCACTCCCATCTCCCACTCACTCTCCCATCACTCTCCATTCACTCTCCCACTCACTCTCCCCACTCACTCTCCCACTCAATCTCCCACTCACTCTCCCACTCACTCTCCCACTCACTCTCCGACATCTCCCACTCTCCCACTCTCCCACATCTCCACTCTCTCCCACTCTCCCACTCTCCCACGTCTCCCACGTTCTCCCCACTCACTCACTCACTCTTCCCACCTCCACTCACTCACACACACACAGCACACCTGCTCAATCGGAGGCGGGGGCGCGGACTTAAACCTTTCGTTCTCGGTCTGCCAGTGAAGTGATTGCTTAAGTAACAAGTTCAAGCGTCTTCAGTTTGCCTTACGTCAACATTCTTCACATTGATCTCTTTGAATATTATGAGATCATTTATAGAGCCGAAGGTAAAGAATGCAACAGGTTAAAGACACTTAAGCAGCCAGTGAAATTACAGCATGTTTTAAGATGGAGAGGAGAATGACATTAACGGAAAAAAAATAAGCACTGTGATATAGGAGATATTCAATTTAAGAAATTGAATATTGCCGCAGCATGCATTGATCAATCCTTTACTGGAGTGATCAAACAGATTTCATTTTTTATTCTGGGTACCAGATTTAAAAAGTACGGTAAGTTAAATATGTTATATTGTGGAAGTAAAGCGGGTTCTATAGTTTTATATTCCGTCAGGTTCCTCTCATATCCACCATTGTACCATCACTAAACCACCCATCAAATCACACCTTCATGTCACGTTGACTGAAACGTCACGTATCGGCCCAGCATTAAGCGTTCAAATTTTACTTTTGATATGGATACACGATACAAATGGTATATCGGTAAATTTCACAATGATGAAATTTACCTAATATCGCGCAACACGTTTCTAGCCAGCTCGTTGATTTTTATTTGATCTGTTAATTTGTACAAATAACTTTCAGAAAATGACCAGTGGGCTTCATGATAAGCAATTTAATAGTATCGACATGACATTCTAGTGGTATTATATACGTCACCATGAACGCTTAATACAAGTTTTAGTGAGAATAAGCTGTATGGACTCAATTTAATCGCTGAAAGTTATTCATGATTAGAGAGAGGTATTGCATATAAAACGTTCTAATTCAATTATTTTTATCTTTAGTCAATTCTTATTATATAACAAAATTCTCACATGTTCTTATCAATTACTTCATTATTATTTTCCCGTTTTTACAACTTTCGAGAGACAACTTCGCACTTTTTTCTTAACAATTTCGACCTTTCAAGTACTCTTTTCCAAGAATCCTCTTAATTAAGAGATCCTTTAGATGTTTATCTAGGTATTCTTCATTCTCAAGAAATTGTCACATTAATAGTTCAATTTATACGATATTATGTGAAAATTTAATCACTTCAGGAGATAAATACGTTTTATTCAGAACATTGGACTATCTTTTCTATGTCTACCGATTTCGGAAAATATATCGAAGTTCTGTTTTATAGGTAAGAGTTATAAACGAATGTAGAATTCTTGCTTTATTCAAGAAAATGTGTTCTAATTATCTTTTGTGAGAGATCCAAACAAAGATGAAGACCACACCTGTTGGGAAAACAGTTGCCAATTATAGGTTTTCCCCTAATAATAGGTTTTTTGGTCATTAGATGGATTTTTTAGGGGTTAAAATCTATGTGTTAGTTTTTGTTGGGGTGGTTTCACGTTGGCGCTTTTAAATGTTAATATTAAAAAATCTATTGCTTTATCACAAATCCAAAAATAGTTCCTATGATTACTTCAGGTAGAATTTATTAAAGAAATACCTCAGTTAGTTTTAAAAACTTAAAACGCAGTGTAAGATTATTTAGATGAAGTTCCTTCGGTTAAATTGGGGGTTATTTTTATAAACCTGTCACAACCAAAGCGATTAGTTAAATCGGAGCCAATACATATTGAATGAAAAGGAACAAATCACAGCAGTGAACAAAGAATGAAATTCAACGATTTCAGTTTATTGCCAACGAGCGCACGACAAAACATACCTCTTGAGTTGTCGTAACTCTTCACAGTGCGGAAACTCCTTGAACAAAATCTTTACTACAATGTGCACAATTTGTTTGTTGTTTTTTGGGTGTGTTTTTATTACATGGATAAATATGGGTGTTACTACAAAGTATAATGATCATCATGGTATAATGTAATAATAGTTATTAATATTTCTTTAATTTCATGTCTCTCATATTTTAAACATTAGTAATCTTTTTTAAATTTGTTGTTCGCCTTTATACTTGGTAGTTTATCAGCCTTTCTAGCGAGAAATGATAAAACAACCACATGAAACACTGTTGGAAATGTGTTCAAATATGACTGGCAGATGGAACCCTGAAACAACGTGAGAACGGAAAATGTTTCAAGCAACAATAATACCAAACGGAAGTTGTTCAGCGACACCGATGATGACAGAGCGTAGGCTTCTGCCGGCCGGAGTCAGTTATTTACTTGGCTGTCCGGGTGACGCCGCGTCCATGGCGAAGGTGCCGACGTTTCGCGTCGCCATTCTGCGACCTTCCTCAGGGCGTAATGCCCTAGGGTCGGCACCTCGCCATGGACACAGCGTCACCCTGGGCAGCAAGTAAACATCGATGATGTCCGCGCCGATGAGGCTGCCGCGAACCCGAAGACCGAAAAGCTTTGCATATGGGCTACACACGCATTTCCCCCTCGTTGGGACACGGAGCGCCGGCCGGCGCGCGCGTTTTGTCCAGCGGAATAGCACACCGATCCGCCACGGCCCATCTTGTCACGCCGCGATTACCCCTGCGCACGCCGCTGCGCCCTGTAAAATGTCGGCGCGCCGACAGCGCGCGTGGCCCGCGGACACCGCACGCACAGTGCTTCGCAACGCCACGACGAGGCAGCCACGCGTCATTCAATATTTTCTGTTCCCTTTGTACAAGAGGACTGCAAAGAGTGATCCGGCATGGCCAGAGTGTTAGACAACTGCCGTAGCAAAATCTCCGACCGAGAGGAAAACGGCGTTCGGCCCCGCAAACGCAATGTTCCTTGTCGTGTTCGTCTTTCACCCCCCTATAATCATACAGAAGTCAACCTCACAAGTTACCACACCTGAAATGCAATATGGTCGCTAATGACCTAGTGTTTAGACGCACCTAATAAATAAAAAAAAATTTATATAATACTATAGAGCCGATCCGTAAGTTGCAGATCGTCCAGGCAATTAATGCCATAGTGATCTCCGACGATATGGAATGCAGGGTTCGAGACCCCACTATAGAGCACGCGTTGTTTTCCTGTTCGTCCCTCTTTCACCCCCATATAATCAATATAGGTCGAAATCTCACATTTACGTACTGTTAAGCGCAATAGTGGTCGTAAAATATCTAGAAGTTCACTGCGACATTAATTTTTTAAAAAATTTTAAAAATCAGTTACTGCAGATTCGGTCTGGTCACCTCGACGAACACTCATCCGTTACTGACTGAGGCAGTGAGTGCCCATTGCACCTATCAGCACATGTAACCACAACTATACGTCCAGTCATTCCGACCATTCACTGAGTCCCGCCTGGGCATGGTTGTATTTGTGCTTCGTACCTTTCACGCCTAATCATAGTCCTATCTTGTGATTTTCACAGATTACCATACCATTAAATGCAAGTCTTTAGTCTCGAATTATCTAGATGTTGATGCGACCTGAATAAAAAAAAAAAAACTGAAAAAACTACCTGCTTAGGGTTTCAGGAGACGTATTGTCCTGTGTTACCCAATTCCAGGGCCTCTCTCGAAATTACCGGCTCATTGCAGGTCATAATTGCATTCGAACATGGAGAACATGACGTGGCAAAGCGTCCATGCGCATATTTTTTCCAATATTCACTGTTAAGTCTCTACTCACAATATGTTAGTCATTGAAGGGAGGTTGAATGAATCTCATGCATTTACCTGAATCAGTGGATGTGAAA